TGTGCCCACAACCAAGGTACATGCCCTTGACCGGAATCGAACCCGGGACCCTTCAGTCCGCAGGCCGACACTCTATCCACTGAGCCAAACCAATTAGGGCCTGAATAACTCTTCTAAGATTTGTCATGTCCTTGCTCAGCTCCCATTCTGTGCCATGTATTATATTATCCCCATTTTGCCCCCTAACAATCCTGTAAGGTAGAGATTATTATTCTTGTTTCATATATGAGCAAAGAGTCAGAGAAGGGACTTGCCTAATATTATATAGCAGATAAGAGGGGAAGCCAGGCTTGGAACCTTTCTCCAGAGCTAGTGCATGGGCAGCTTGAAGATCAGCAGAGCTGGTGCCACGCAGGCTGTCCACAGTATTTCCCTTGACCAGTGGTGCTTAGTTTCCACGAGTTCTGCATTCGCGGCTGGTGCATTGTGGGAAAGAAACAGACGTGTCCCTACTGCAAAGAGAAGGTCGACCTCAAGAGGATGTTCAGCAACCCGTATCCTTATTTTGCATTCTTTGGGAGTGGGCAGTGGGAAGCAAGCACTGGCCAGTGTGACCCTGCATTTGGGTCCTCATGGGGCTCTCCTTCCTCGCGCCCCCCGCCCCCCACCGTACATGTCCACCATTCTATTTAGCCTCAAGTGTAAGGAAGTTGGGGATGGGACATGGCACAGGACTAATGCCTCAGCTTCTCATAATAGTTCTAGAACCCTTAAGGCTAAGTTGGTAATTGTAGCAGCTGCCGCTTCCTGCTTGCTTACTGTGTACCTGGCACTGTGTTAAGTGTTCTACTCATATGAATCTCATTGTCTTCTCTAGCAACTTTATGACCTGGTGATATCCTCATTTTACAGATGAAACAGTTAAGATGTTGGATACTTGTTTAGGTGATATAATTAATGCATGATGATGCCTTATCTATGACATGCAGGGCTGGAGAACAGCTCTGTGCCTGTGTAGGGCCTGTAGGTGCAGGGGTGGCTGAGGGACTCCCTGTTCCCATCTGCTATCAACACAGGACTTGTGCTCCTCTGAACTATCACTTCCTCCCCTGCCAGCCTTCCCTTCTCATCCTGTACCTTCACCCTCCTCATTCTCCTCACAGCCTGACCGTTGGAAAGTGCCCAGCCATACTCTGCCCGCCCCTGCACTTCCCCTGGGATACAGAGATCCAGCTTTCTCCCCTCTCCTCTCAGCTGCCCTTTTCTCTGTCCCCAGTACACTAGCTGGGCCGTGTGGGAGCCACTGCATTCCCAGTACACTCCCTGAACAGGAGACAGGCCCTTTTAGGTTCCTTACTTCGTTCTTGCAGGGACTAGTTTAGGAACAAGTAATAACTCCATGGTCAAGCTGATGGTTGGAGCTTCCCTTAGTTCTCAGAGACTAGGCCAAGCTGCCCTTTCTGATGCCTTTCGAGAGGTTCCCTCCCCCCAGGGCTTTCCCCAGACCTGGAATCTGGAGGCTCCTTTTCCAGGCGTCTTGCCCAGTGTTTAGCTGTAAAGTGGAAGGAGGGGAACTATCTCCAGAGCCGTTTGGCCTCAGTAGGGTCAGGTGCTTAGTGCCCCTGGATGGGGATTCCTTGGGGCCTCTGCCAGGGGTTATCCTCTGTGACCAGCCTCGTGCTCCCTTCTGCCTCTGTCTCTAGACTCAACCTCTTCCTTGACCTAGAAAGCCTTCCAGTTGGACATTACAAGAACCTTCAGGGCTGCCTTACTTACTCCCAGCTTCCCTGCAGCCAGTGTCACAGGCCTCAGGCTGTGTTCTCTCACTGCCAGTCCATCTCAGAGAAGTTGTTCCATGGACGACCCTCTCTGCATGTCGGTCATGGAGAGCTTAATTCCACCACTCCCTCCCCATCTTC